CATTGAGGAATACCATCGTATGCAGAGCTTTGGGGGGGGGAAGTTTAGAAAATGACTTGCGATGGTGACAAGAACTCTATGCAAGGGAAGGATGCGCATTCAGAAATACCATTGCATGCAGAGCTTTTCGGGGGGGAAGTTTAGAAAATGACTTGCAATCTTGACAAGAACTCTATGAAAGGGAAGGATGTGCATTGAGGAATACCATTGTATGCAGAGCTTTGGGGGGGGGAAGTTTATAAAAATGACTTGCAACCGTGAGAAGAACTCTATGCAAGGGAAGGATGTGCATTGAGGACTACCATTGCATGCAGAGCTTTGGGTGGGGGGAAGTTTAGAAAATGACTTGCAATCGTGACAAGAACTCTGTGAAAGGGAAGGATGTGCATTGAGGACTACCATTGCATGCAGAGCTTTGGGGGGGGGAAGTTTAGAAAATGACTTGCAATCGTGACAAGAACTCTGTGAAAGGGAAGGATGTGCATTGAGGAATACCATTGCATGCAGAGCTTTTGGGGGGGAAGTTTAGAAAATGACTTGCAATCGTGACAAGAACTCTGTGAAAGGGAAGGTATGCATTGATGACTACTATTGCATGTAGGGCTTTGGGGGGAGACTTGCAACCGTCAGAAGAACTCTATGCAAGGGAAGGATGTGCATTGAGGAATACCATTGCATGCAGAGCTTTGGGGGGGGGAAGTTTAGAAAATGACTTGGAATCTTGATAAGAACTCTATGCAAGGGAAGGATGCGGGACAGGGTGGAGTTGCTGAATCGGGACAGGTTGGAGTTGCTGAATCGGGACAGGGTGGAGTTGCTGAATCGGGAGAGGGTGGAGTTGCTGAATCGGGACAGGGTGGAGTTGCTGAATCGGAACAGGGTGGAGTTGCTGAATCGGGACAGGGTGGAGTTGCTGAATCGGAACAGGGTGGAGTTGCTGAATCGGGACAGGGTGGAGTTGCTGAATCGGGACAGGGTGGAGTTGCTGAATCGGGACAGGGTGGAGTTTTCTGAATCCTTGGAGTTTCTGAATCGGAGTTGCTGAATCGGAGTTGCTGAATCGGGTAAAGTTTCTGAATCGTAATTTATTCCATTAAAAATGGTGATTTTCAATAGCTATGTTAAATTACTAGAGGGTAAGTTATGGCTAGTGGATCTTGATTCCCCCAGTATGGTCATCGGATGTCGTAGCTTTTGATGACCCAGATGTCCATCGAAAAATAAATTGCCTGTGCTAGTGCTAAATGTGATTGATGCATCATCTGCATCCTTTAACTGTTCCAATCAACCACTGAATGATGATGAGAACAAAAAGAACAAGGATGATATAGGATGATACCAATTATCATCATCGTCGTCGTCATCGTCGTCATCGTCCTCATCATCATCGTCATCACCACCACCACTACCACCACCACCATCATCATCATCATCATCATCCGGGGGCTAGATCCGGGCTCCCCACATCGACAACCACAAAGAAGGGTGCCTCGGCGAGGCCGTTGGCAGTTTTCTTCGGCTTGGGAGCAAGGAATCTGTTTGGTAGGGAATGGGGGAATGGGATGATTGTTACTAGCTATTGTGGATCATTCCCACATTCCCTACGTTTTGCACCAGTTGAGCAATTGAAAATTTGAAGCAGCAACAATTGGATTTGGGGAACAAAAAAGTGGCTTTGAGGATCGAACTCACAAGTTTCTTGGGATGCGAGGGACAGAAAACGATGATCTTTGAGGATTTTAAGGAACAAAAATGGGAAGCCACACTCTACCATCGTTGCGGGGAAATGTCCTAAACTTGATTGACCCAAGGCGCCCGATTTCTTTGATCTATATACTTTTTAAAATCCCATCCCCATGGATTCGCTACTAAACCCAGGCTTTCTAAGGTGGTAAGACTGGTGCCAAGGGGTGAGATACAACATATTGACATATTGCATAAGAACCCCTCGCTAGCTGTGGTTTACAAATGTTTCGTAAGTTGCGTTTGCTGAGTGCTTTGACTCATCTCTGCAACAGAGGTCCCTGGATGCGTGCGGCAGATTTTGGCCAACAATTGGCCATCTGGCAAAACGAGTTGGAGATTTGAAAGGTTCACATTCAATTCACAAGCAATCCGTTTGTGCGTCTCCCAGGCAGAGTCAACACCCCGTGCAATCAAACGATAGCGCTCTTCCCCAACCAAAGTTGAGCATATCAGCGCGACCGCATCATCCACGCCCACAAACTCTAGCTGTAGAGCCAAGTCTCTGCCACATGTTGTATCGCCAATGTAGCACATTCCCGGCTGTGGCGGCGGAATCTTGCACTGTCCATATTTTTCAGATCCGATGGCAACAGCATAGCCATCACTCCGGAGAAGCACTGTATGAACACTGCCGGCAGAAATCTGGGTGTATGCCATCCCCTCATCCAAAGGTGGGATGTTGCACTGTCCGTGTTCATTGTCTCCGGTGGCAACCGCACGGCCATCACTATGGAGAAGCACTGTATGAACACTGCCTGCAGACACCTCGGTGTATGCCATTCCCTGATCCAAAGGTGGGACGTTGCACCGTCCATCTCTATTCACTCCAATAGCTACAGCACTGCCATCACTCCGTAGCAACACTGTATGGAAACCGCCTGCAGACACCTGGGTGTATGCCATTCCCTCATCTAAAAGTGGGATGGCACACTGTCCCATGCTATTGCTTCCAATGGCAATAGCACAGCCATCACTCCGGAGAAGCACTGTATGATCCATGCCTGCAGAAATTTGTGTGTACACCATTCCCTCATCCAAAGGTGGGATGTTGCACCTTCCATCTGCATTCAGTCCAGTGGCAACAGCGCTGCCATCACTCCGCAGCAACACTGTATGAAAACTGCCTGCAGAAACCTGAATGTATGCCATTCCGTCATCCGAAAGTGGGATGGTACACTGTCCCATGCTATTGCTTCCAATGGCAATAGCACAGCCATCACTCCGGAGAAGCACTGTATGGTCCATGCCTGCAGAAACCTGGGTGTATGCCATTCCCTCATCTAAAGGTGGGATGTTGCACCGTCCGTCTCCGTTCATTCCAACGGCAACAGCGCTGCCATCACTCCGCAGCAGCACGGTATGATGCAAACCGGCAGAAACCATTGCTTGAAACAAGGCCAATTTGATCTAAGATTTGATGTGTTGGTGATGGCCATGTATCAATGCATATCATGTGTGGCAATGGGTCAGAATTTAATGGATTGCGCAGTGCGTTTCCGAAAAATCTGCGTTCCATTTCCGACTGGCCTTATTAAGCTTTAACCCATCCCAGCGTATGTTGGTCGCTATGTTGTGCCATCAGCAGCTGACTGCGCACGTTTGCTATTCACGATGCATGAGAAACAGGAAGGCGGTTTTAAAGAACATACTGAGGCAGTCTGTTTGAGCTCTGTTTGTTCGGTTCACTTTTTCTTGTTTCTTGCGGCATCTGGACCTTTTGCTTGTAAATACCCATTTTGGGCAGCTAAAAAAGCACCCAGAATTCTATATAATTTTCAAAAATTTGGTCTCCAAAAAATGGGATGGCTGTTGCTTTGTACTAGTTACAAGTGACCCAAAACCTGTGGGTTCAAGAATGAAAAAGCTGACCCATCTTTTGCCCCATCTGCTTGCCAAACAACCAGCTAGTTTGAGGATGCTTCAGGTTTCTCTGAAAATGGGGATCTTCAAAAATGGATTTTCCGCCTGGGGAAAATGCTGGGGTCACCCTTTGTTCAAATCCCGAAAGGCTGTTGAACTCCCAACTCGGACTCTGCCGGTCAAAGTCCGATCCACAGGATATCTGTGGGTGAAATCAGATCGCCTTGGGATCTTCACTCAACTGGTTGCCCCCCGCTGTGGCCACGGGCCGGAGCCGCCGTAAAGGACACTGTGTAGGTGATGGTGATCACCTCAACAAGTGTCCAATGCGCAAAACGATGTTCTCAACGTGGAATGGGGTAACTATGAAGCCGAAGCCTTGTGGGATGTACCAAAAAATGGGGAATGTTGATCCATCAAAAGAATCAAAAGTAACAAAATGTCGTTTTTGCTTATTTTCAGCCATACCAGTTCATACCCACCTATGAACCGCAGGTCGAACACAGCCACTGGAAATCCCAATGGTTTCCCGGAAATTAATCATCTGATATGAATAATTGTCCATTGCCCAATAAAATTATACGGGCATTGTCTATTTGGGATTGAGTTTTCACCCGCACATAAGAAGCATCCTCCCCTCTGCCCATATCAGAGGTGACTGAGTGCCGGATGCCTGTTGAAAGATCATTACCTGCTGATGATTGTGCTTCCGAATATGTTCTGGTTGCTGATAGGTTCATGAGCCTATTTTTGTTCGTCCTATCCCAATCTTTGTCTCATCCTGTCTCCTTTTAGGTACCTAATTTTCTGATGGTTGAATCCCCATTTTCATGGCTTAGATCCCCATTCGTGTTGCATCAGCATCCACATTCCACATGTTTTGCTGCCCAAAATCCCAGCGAAATTGTTCGCAGGTCCCCCGGCCGAGTAGATGATGAGGGCACCTATGAAGAGGTCCCACCTCACGAACCGGACTTGGGATGAATGGCAGGAAGCTGTTCAAAAGCCATTCGGGGAGCATAGATTATTGACAGATCACTATGCGAAAAATGATAGTGGTGGAGTTGTCATCATCAACACAATCCGACTATCATGTTGGGAAACTCTTGGCTCCTTGGCTCCCCATAGGGGATATGAATACAACGCTACCTGGTTCCCTCCATTCACCACTGGATGGGCAGCAAAAATGGAATTCCACTCGCAAAACAATGGTGATTCCGCTGGCACAAAACAGGTGTTTGAGTCACTCAATGATCAGGTTTGATTGGTTTTCAGCCCGCCTAGCAACTACTTACCATTGCCTACACATCAAAGATACAATGATGATGATTGGTGCTTCAACCCCCGCAGAATCCAACCTTCGACACACACTTCCCACGGAATGCACCCAGAGCTTTGTTTATCGCAAGAAATGTCTCGCTCCACTGCTGCTAGCTCGACGGATGGCCTCAAGGTGCTGCGCGAAATTCTCCTCGAAGATGTTTCTAGTGACTTTCTTCTACAAAACTCTTATAGTCCCTGCAAGGATAGCCGAAGGAAGTTTAGAAGTCAAACTTCCGACAATATGGACAGATGAAAAAGCAGAGGTGGGAAGAGCCAGCGAAGAGAAGAAGCGAGAAGATCAAAGAAGAGAAAGAGTCAGAAGAAAGAAGATGCTGGTGCGCGAAAAGGTAGGAAAGTCGCGAATCACTACGTTTTTCTAATGATTTGTGGCTCCAGAGGGTCGAAAAGCAGGCTCGCCAAAGCGGCAGGTGCGGAGCAATCTGGCCAGATGAGGAATGAAAAATTGCGCGCCGTTGTGGCGCGAAGCATATTTTGGAAGTGAGAAAGCTAAAAACACCTCACGTCCGGAACACTTTTGGCAGTTGAGATGTCGAAAAAGTGCACGCCGTTGTGGCGCGAAGCACATTTCGAAGTCAAAAGTGTAAAAAACTCGCGGGTTCAGAGCACTTTTGGAAGTTGAGATGTCGAAAAAGTGCACGCAGTTGTGGCGCGAAGCACATTTCGAAGTCAAAAGTGCAAAAAACTGTGGGGTACGGAGCATTTTTTGGACGTTCAGACGTGCTTTCGCGTGGCAGGCGCAAGGGATTGTGCACCTTGTCAAAAGTGAGCAAAACGTGAGGGCTTTGTAGCATTTTCAAAAACGATGGCAGGCGTGGGACATTTGACGAGGATCTGCAAAGATGGATTTCGCGTGGCAGACGCAGTACAAGAGACATGTTCATCAGAGCTGTTAGGAGGTCCGGGCGCTGATTTCCTGAGAGGGGTTTGGAGCATCAGATCTTCAGGTTTGCTGAGATGATTTGTGTGACAGGTGCAGCACTTCGTATGACCTGGCATCACTTTTTCGTGGCAGGCGCAATACTTTAGACAGATGGCATGGCAAATCACAAAACGCATCGGTACGAGGCCGTCAGCTCTGCACTCAACTTTCCATTTTTAAAGAAAGTCTCGCAGAATTGCTTCGTTTTTGATGTTGTCAACTTCGAAAAATTGAGGAAGTCTCGCAGAAAAGCTTCGTTTTCAAACTTGCAGATAGACAGATAGATAGATAGATAGATAGATAGATAGACAGATATAGATAGATAGATAGATAGACAACTACTACAACAACTACCACTACCACTACACTACTATTACAACTACAAATACAAATATACTACGCTACATTACACTACACTAATTACATCTAATTACGTTACACTACACTAAACTAATTACACTACACTAATTACTTTGCACTAATTACACTCCAACTCCAACTCCAACTCCTACTACTACTACTACTACTACGACTACTACTACGACTACTACTACGACTACTACGACGACTACTACGACGACTACTACGACGACTACTACGACTACTACGACTACTACGACTACTACGACTACTACGACTACTACGACTAGTACGACTACTACGACTACTACGACTACTACGACTACTACGACTACTACGACTACTACGACTACGACTACGACTACGACTACGACGGCGACTACGACGACGACGACTACTACTACTACTACTCCTACTCCTACTCCTACTCCTAACTCCTATACTCCTATACTCCTATACTCCTATACTCCTATACTCCTATACTCCTACTCCTATACTCCTATACTCCTACTCCTATCCTACTCCTACTCCTACTCCTACTTCTACTTCTACTTCTACTCCTGCTGCTACTACTACTACTGCTGCTGCTGCTGCTACTGCTACTGCTGCTACTACTACCACTACCACTACGACTACTACTACTACTGCTGCTGCTGCTGCTGCTACTACTACTACTACCACCACCACCACCACTAGTACCACTACTACCACTACTACCACTACCACCACTACCACCACTGACACCACAGCTACCACAGCTACAACTACAATTACAACTACATTACATTACACTACACTAGGCTAATTACACTGCAGCACACTACAACTACAAATACAAATACAAGAGCAACTAGACTACATTACACAGCACTACAGTCACTACACTAATTACATTACATCACGCTACAACTGCAACTGCAACTACAGCTACAACTACCACTACATTGCACTACACTACACTAATTACACTACACTACCCTCCACTACACTACACTACACTACAACTACACTACTTTACACTACACTACACTAGACACTACGCTATACCACACTACAATACACAACACTACAGTACACTACACTACACTGCCACAACTACAACTGCAACTACACTACACTAATTACACTACATTACAACTACAACTCCACTACACTACAACTAAAACTACAACTGCACTACACCACACTACATCCAGCCGTTGTGGTGAGGTGACCACTGCAACCATTGCAACCACTCCAAAAAACACAACTCCAACCAGCCTTTGGGTCCATCAGTGGATTCGCTCTGCCATCAGTGGTTCACAACAACCAACCTCTCCAGTAGGCGTTCTATTTTTGAAACTTCCGCCACCGCCTTGTGCGGTACTACTGGTGCATTCTAATTAAGAACTGGTCTAATCGAATATTATAGATAGATAGATAGATAGATAGATAGATGGATAGATAGATAGATAGATAGGTAGGTAGATAGATAGATAGGTAGATAGATAGATAGATGGATAGATGGATGGATGGATGGATAGATAGATAGATAGATACATATATATATATATATATATATGCTCGTGTCTGTGGGTGGGAAATTTAACCCAATGCCACACATGGAGTATGCTTCATTGAATCCCCTGGTTTGACCCCATGCTTGTTGGCATTTCGACTCATGTCTTCAAACAAAACCCTTAAATCCCGGGCAACCACTCGTTTCAGAGGATTAATCCCAAGCGCTCTTTGGATCCTAATTCTTTCATCTGAAGCCACACCTTTCTGGTGGTTCAATCACCATTTCGATGAACTCCCCAATTTTCTATTGGAGAATTCCACCATCTTCGGCCGAAATCCCCAGGTTTCCCACCATTTTTCAGCACCTCCGTGGGTTCCGCTGCCGCTGGCAGCGGCTGAAAGCGCCGCAGCATAGCCTGCAGCAGTGTGGCCGGCGCGCGCTGCTCGTCGTCGTCGTGCAGGGAGCAGAGAAAGGGGAGATCGTCGTGCCTGAGATCGGAGCCATTTTGTGCGTTCCGGAGATACCGATATCCGTGGTGCTTGGTGGGGTATTGCCTAAGTCAAGGTGCAGATTTCTGCACCTGGACTTCGGCAATACAGAGGTTGTACCCTGGGATTTCGGGAAAAAAAAATTGCCGATATCAGGGTGCAGAAATTTGCATGTGGACTTAGGAACCAGCCTTACTATTATATTCTACCACGATTTTTCCCGCAATGGATTCGGGGTCCTTCATTTTGAGATTTAGGCAAAAAAAAATGCCGATCTTTTGGCTCGGGGGACACCAAATCCATCTCCACCGCAAATCCGTCGCATAACAATACTTTATTTTATATTTTATCTAAGTACTCAATCAAAAAAAGCATATCTGAACTACCATCGAATTGGTGATCGTTTGTTCTGACTGGTACTTCCACGAGTAGAAGGGTAAATGGATGGAGAGGCTAATTATCCATCCCCTTCTTGGCATGACTACCGAATGGCGGATAAGAATTAATAATATTGAAACAGCCAAGGGACACTAACCCAAAACGATTTGTCCTTGGGAAAAAAATTCACTGGTATATACCAAGGCCACCTACCTTGATAGATAAGATGGATAAAGAAATAAATGTTGGAAAACATATATCACACAATCAGAGGTAGAACTAAATCACCAAGGACCCTAGAATCAAATTCCAAAGGCCCCTTATCGGCTGCAAAACCTTTGGTCGAGCCTTTTGCCAACCATCAAGGAGACTTTATTCCTGATGTCTTCTGTTGGTCGGTGCATGTGGGGTTGAATCAAAATTTGGAGTTCCATTCCATCGCATGGGGGAAAAATTATGTTTAAAATGCCGCGTATTGTGGGGGGAATCGCCATTCTGAGACAACCTATAATCATGAGTGTTGATGAAATCCTTCATTTCATTGATCAAAGTCCCCATGTTTGTATTTGTTGTCGCCTCAATCGCAGTTCCTGTTTGGTAAATCCCCCATTCTGTCGATCAAACCCGTGTCTCCAAGCTACTTTGCGCAGATCTCCCAGGGTTCAATGACATGGATCACGTAGCCCAAACGCTCGGCCAGTAGAACATACGGCTTCATTTCCTGGATGGCCCAACATGGTGCGTGTGATAATCTGGTAAGTCCAGTGATCAACTTTTTTCGGCCGTATGGTGTCCAATACCCAGCAAAAGTAAATTCGGAGTGGTATTCTTGGGTGTAGGAGAGAACCAATCTGCAATTGAATCATCCCAAAACTTCATCAGACGAGAATGTTGGAACCCAAACCCTGAATCCCATGACATAGCCATGCACAAAGCAATTGGTCAACCCAAAAATAAAAGTGGGAACCTAACCGACTCAATCAGCTCCGTCCAGAGGTGAGGAAACTAATTGTGATGCCAATCCGACCACGCATTGGTTCATTGTGATTGAAACCCAAAAAATTGGGCCATCATGACATTGTCGAGCCGCATCATTTGGCGCTAATCAGTTTATATGTCTGTTTGTCTGTCGGAAGCTCGCATGGAATTGGAAACCCGCTAATGATTGTCAATAGGACAATCATTGTTTGAGGGTGTCATTTTCCACTTCCATGGTTGTTTCAACTAGAGCGCCTCAGTGCAAACAACAAAACCATAAGACAAGTAGGATGATATGGCCTATGGCCCAAGGCAGGATGTGGCGTTGTCTCAAAATTTAAAATCTAGAACCCCATTCCATTGGCTTATCATCATGTTTACCCCACTTTTTGAATGGCCATTTCGTGTATCTGCTGTGAAAAAAGGCCGTGACCACTAGTGTTCTTAGCATCCCTGGTTTGATTGGTTAAATCCCAACTTTTGCTCGTTAAACCACAATGAGTTCAGGATCTCTGTTCTACTTGGCAACTTGCCAGCGCTACGAACGAAGCACCCAGCGTCCCAGAGCCGAAGATTGGGGCAGTCGATGAACACCTTGGGCCATGCTGGTCATAGCTGGTTGAAAACCACGATGAGTAAGATTTTTTTAGGTGTATATATCTATATATGCATATACCAGAGAATCACAAGGGGGATTTGTGAAGCTAATCAATCCTTATATTGGTTAAACCCCCATCATACCACTTGTTTTAGTGGATCCCATTTCTGGCCGGACAGATCCCTATTTTGACTGCTTAAAATCACCATGTTTGCCGGAGAAAATCCCACTTTTTCGGACAAAACATCCAGCTGCAGCTGTGGAACCGGATGGATCCCAGCTTCCATGGAGAGTAAGGCTCTCATCTCGTTGTTCTTCATGGCCTTCTCGAACTGGTACTCCTCGCCTCGGCCAGGCTATGGAAGATGCTGTACCCATTTGGAATCAGAATTTTCACTGCAACACATCAGAAATGTGGATGAAATGACCAATTTTTCAAGAGATCGGAGGCCTGGCTTTGACCGAAATAGGGGATTTCACCGACCACAAAATCTAAGCATGGGGAGATTGACCAGGGATGTCGACACTCATGGTTGTGAGGGTGTCTCAAAATGGGAGATACCCCATTCTGGCCATGTTGATAGAGGAAAATCTGGGAGGTCCCAGAGAGTTCATCAGCGTTGATGCGCCATCAGGCGGTTTATCATGCTTGGCCAAAAAAAAAGTGTGGTAGTTACTTTAGGATCAAATATTTTTGGCACGGTTTTCCCGGAATTCCAACGTATCATAATATATTGATGTAGCCTGAAAACCCAGTGCTGAGTGCAAGTCCCCAATTTCATGGGGGATTTGTTTGTTTGCCTGTGAAGAACAGGGTTCAAACATGGTGTTTCAACAAAAAGTTGGAGTATTCAACTCATGCAAATGATGATTGGTTCATAGGGATGTGCATTGCATCATCCTGTCATCTCGATAAACAACGATCCCAGGGGGTTCGGCTATCACACTCTGCCGTCTCTCCGTTCTGACTTGTTTGGATGCCCTCCGAAATTCTGCAAAGGTGTCCAACGACCACACCAAACGTGAAATTTGGCAACAGAATGCAACCGCCTCAAAAGAAGATCCTTTAAAAGGAAACTGTTGAAGTTGTCTGAAATTCTGGGACCCCATTCCATCATATTCCATCCCATGGTCTCGAAAATAATCTTCCAATTCAGATTGTCCATGATCATTGACCATATTGATTATGGTGAGTGACTTTCATGGTGATTATATATCCTCATGGACAATGATATAAGGATACCATTACCAACAGTTACTTCATCATAGTTGTTTCACCAATATTTTTTCACCAACATACTATTTAAAAAATAAAAATAAAACAATAATTTGCAACAAAAAACAGAAATCAGGGAAGCAAAGACCAGCCCTAGATCAGTAGGGTCTAGATCAGTATGTTTTTTCCCCACATCTTTGTGTGGGGTGCTTGTTTTTGATTCTGTATCCCGGGTGCCGCCGCCTCCTCCCGCCGCCTCCCTTACACTTACCATACAAAACTTACACTTACCATACAAAACTTTACATACAATAACTTCACACACAGAAACTTAACATACAATACTTTTACTTACACTTACCATACAAAACTTAACATACAAAAATTTTACATACAATAACTTCACACACAGAAACTTAACATACAATACTTTTACATACAATTACTTCACACACACAAACTTAACACACACAAACTAAATATACAATAACTTCACACACACTCACACACACACACACCTTTGTCACCTTCGTTTTGCGTGGCAGGCGTGGCACTTATGGCATTGGGTGGCGCGCTTGGTCCGGATTTGTCGCCCGTGACGCCGCGGCTGTTTGCGTGGCAGGCGTGGTACTTGGTGACATCCACCTTCATTTCACGTGGCAGGCGTGGCACAAAGTCACATCCAACTTCGTTTGGCGTGGCAGGCGTGGCACTTATGGCATTGGGTGGCGCGCTTGGTCCAGATTTGTCGCCCGTGATGCCGCGGCTGTTTGCGTGGCAGGCGTGGTACTTGGTGACATCCACCTTCATTTCACGTGGCAGGCGTGGCACAAAGTCACATCCAACTTCGTTTTGCGTGGCAGGCGTGGCACTTATGGCATTGGGTGGCGCGCTTGGTCCGGATTTGTCGCCCGTGACGCCGCGGCTGTTTGCGTGGCAGGCGTGGTACTTGGTGACATCCACCTTCATTTCACGTGGCAGGCGTGGCACAAACTCACATCCACCTTCGTTTTGCGTGGCAGGCGTGGCACTTATGGCATTGGGTGGCGCGCTTGGTCCGGATTTGTCGCCCGTGACGCCGCAGCTGTTTGCATGGCAGGCGTGGTACTTGG